GGTAAACAGCCCAGGGTTGAGGTAATATGACAGTTATTTTCAATGCATCTTCTGCCATAACGCCCATGAGTCTTTCCTCTTCTGATTGCCCCCACCTCATCCCCTCCTCACCCGTTGGAGGTGTGACGTATAGGCTTGTCTGTGCGCCCGGGCCCAGCTGGTGAGGGCACAGGTGCGGTGTCTTTGGGGACTTGCAGCTTCAGAAGGCGGATGGCGTTGATGACATGTCCATTCTGCCTTGCAGATAGGTCTGACATGGACATGCTTCCAGCTGGCTGGGATTTCGATGAAAACCCCTCCTCCTTGGTGCCAGTTAACAGAAATTACATGTCCCTGGCACACTTTGTAATTCAGAAAATGCATGTGCCGATGAGTGCCACTCCTGTTGGACGCACCGTGATGACCAAGGGGCTGCAGGCCAAAATCCTAGCTCTCACCCCACCCCCATTTAAGGTCACAGAATGTTTTCCTCCTGGGTAGACATCAGTGTCACCTCACTCCCTTATCCATTCATTTCTACCCAACAAACATGGCTTGAGCACCGAGCGTGTGCGGGTTTTATACCATAGAGCTGGGATGCAGCAGTGAACCGTGCAAGGAGAACTCCTGCCTTCGTGAAGGGCAGTAAATGGTCAACACACACACAGGACAGCTTCTCTGTGATAGATGTTACAAAGGACACAAAGCAACCAGACAAAGAATGGCCAAGGGGGACGAGCCACATTAGGTAGAATGACCAGGAAAGGTTTCTCTAAAGGAGGTGATGTGAGCTGAGATTGAAGACCGAGAAGGAACCAGACATGGCAAGGCGAAGAGAAACAAGCTCAAATGTCAAGGAGATTCGTTCATTTATCCAACATTTTTCATCATACAATAAATACGTGTTGAACCAACAACTGAAGAATAGGTCCATCCTCTTTGTTCCTGCCAAAAAAGACCCTCATGTAGGCAGGAGGAGCTCAGGAGAGATGCCACAAGCATAGAGGCAAGTGGCTGCCCTTTCTCCAGCCCCGTTCCCCACCTCGAAAACAAGGGGCTGGGCCTAAGCACTAGCATTCCAGGCCTGTAGGATCCGAACACCTTCCAAGGGGACAGGCCCTCATAGCTCTTTAAGCAACGACTGCGCAGCAAGCAAACAGCAATCTGTCATTTTTTAAAAGCAGTCAGGACGGTTGTTTGGAATTGTGTAGTCAGGGCCTGTCATCTGCTTCATTTTTAGTATATGTGCTGCCAAAGCGAGCGCTGTCATCTGCTTCATTATCATTAGGATTTCCGCACTGAATTTCCATGCGCACTCACTCACTCTGAAAACACTATTAGTTGGGAGCCTCCCGCCTCCTCCCTCTGCTCCTCCCCACCTCCAGCCCCAGTCTTTCTCTGGAAGATCAGGGAAGAGTCCAGGCTACGGAACTGAAACATTTGACTTGTATCCCGGGTGTGACTCACTGTGTGACTTTGGGCAAGTCACTTCACTTCTCTGAGTCTCAATGTTCTCATCCATATAATGAGGAGAATAAGACACAGCAACCATCTAAAGTTAATATTTTTTTTAAGTTTTTATTTATTTATTTGACAGAACGAGAGAGCACAGCAAAGGGAGCCGTTAGAGGGAGAGGGAGAAGCAGGCTCCCCACGGAGCATGGAGCCTGACATGGGGCTCGACCTGAGCCGAAGGCAGACGCTTAACCATCTGAGCCATGCAGGCGCCCCTAAAGTTGTTATCCTTATTTTTAGATTAGTGTGTGAAACTGTCAAAACTCAACGGAGAGAACAGAGATTTAGGTCTTTAAGGCAAAGGAAACTGGAGCAGTGAGTGTGACAATGAGCCCATTTAATGACCTGTCTCCACCTGTAGCGTTTTCCATTCTTGGAGATAATCAAGAAGCAGGATCACAAGAAACAGCTTTCAAGAGGTCTCTTAATTTATCATGATACTTTGTCGTGCCAACAATTACAGATCCCCTACTATATGCCAGACACTGTTCTTTGTGCTTAACTTATATTTACTGATTTAAACGTCTTACCACAACCATACAAAGTAAATACTATTACTATGCCCGTTTTACGGATAAAGGAGCTAAAACCTAGAGCAAGTACATAACTTCCACAGGGCCACACAGCTAGGAACTGGTGGAGTTCGGGAATAAACCCAGGCAATCTGACTCCAGTCTATGCTGCTAACTGCTTGCCACCTCATTTACAATGAAACATAAAAGCCTCCTGCAGACATTGGGTTTTTCTACTTCAAATAGACTTGTCTTCTGAGCACTCAGTAAACAAAGAGTTACTACCTGCCTAATCCTAAAACCCCTGGCCAGTAGCCCCAGCACTAACAAGGGCTGCTTCCCCCGACTACGCTCGGCCAGCCATAGATAAATTCACACCTCCCACCACAGATGGGATTTTTGGGTGCCTATTAAAATGTCAGTCGATCTTCAAGTTGAAGTTCTTCCTACATCATTTAGCACAACCTGGAAGGTCAGATTAATGGGGAAGCCAGCCTCCCCTCGGCAGTTACCTCCTTATTACTTTCCTGCCCCTGCACTCGCTCTCAGAAATGTTACATCACAATAAATGTAGTTAAAAGAGCAAACAAACCACCACTACTTCCTTGAGATCCAGATGCCATTATCTCAAATCACCTTGCCTTTGGTCTCAGAGGACACGCTCCCCACTGCTGACACCGGGCCTGATCTGCAGATGAAAGCAGCCATTTTCTGGGCCCAAGTGATATTAACCCATCTCCAAAGACATGTGCCCAGGACCAGCACAAGCTTTAGGTACACGGAAGAGAAGCAGGATATATCCAACACAGGTGGCTTCCCTTTCAAGGGCTAAAAGTCACGAACAGCAGGATAAAATTCCTGCCCACGCTGGGCGGTATACAGTGAAGAGAGCATAATTGCAAATCCTATGTCACTTACTGACATGGCGGTCGCAGAATGCATCCTAGTAATCACAGACTTCGTATTCATGCCTGCTTCTCCTGCTGAATGTAAACAGCCACCTGGAGACTCTGACAGCCCTTCCGTGCTGTTGGCGCTGAATGGAGCACGTCAGCAAATGAGTAAACGCTGCGTTGCATTTGCAGGCCCTGCGAGCTCAAAGAAGCTCAGTTTTGAGTCCAAATGCAGCTGCCTGCTGGAAAACTCAAGGCTTCTTCAGGACTGACTCTGTAGCGATGGATCAGAGCCCTGCCTTTGGAGAGTGGGGGTTTGGGAAGCCTCAGTGTTTCCCATAAATTGCTGGCAAGATGGGTCCAACGCCATCCTGCAAAGCACAAAACTGTGAACATCATTGAAGTTTCCCCAAAGAGAAACTGCTCTGTTAAATCAGCTGGAGTCCTCAGAGAGAAAAGAAATCAGGCCCAGATGAAAGCAAATGGGCAAGAGATGGCCAACTCCCTCTCCTGCTCACTTCCGGTTTTACTGGGTTTTCATGGGAACTCGCTCATGGACAGACTGGGGCTGAGTCCTTCAGAAGGCAAGTCTTGCTAAACGCTTTTAGACCAGTTTCCCATCAGTCTTTAGGCATTCTCCTGTCCCCCTTCAGCATGATCAGCTGGGACTTCACTTGCACTCAGGAGGGCCAGGAGCCAAGCAGCATAGTCATGGAGAACAGCCAGCCCCCGGGCTGGGTGTTCAGACAGCCTGCCCTCACCTGGACAGGGGCATCCCGAGCTGTTGCTGCCCTTCCTTCTGAACCTTCTCAGCCTCAGGGAGAGAAAAGGGCCTGTGGGCTGGACAGGGCAAGGACGACACTGGTTACATACGTGGGGACAGTGGGGATACAGGTTGAGTTTGGCCAGCCAAGTAGAGTGAGGCCTTGGAGGAATTCTGGGGGCTCATGGATTTTAACTTTTGTTTTTGAAAGGAGTTCAGATTTATAAAAATACTGCTGAAATAGTACAAAGAATGCCTAAATACCCTTCAAAGCAAGATGCCCTAGATATTAACATCTTACCATGTTTGTTTTGATTTTCTCTCTCATATATGGTCTTATATAATATATATTAATTAAATATTACATAAATATTTAATGTAAATTATATATATATAATTTTTCTGAACCATTTGAGAATAAGTTGAAAATCAAATGCCTATCTATCCCTAAACATTTCAGTGTGTCCCCTAAACAAGGATGTGCTCTTACATAACCACAATACAATGACCAAAACCAGGATAGTAACACTGATAAAGAACTGTTAACTAGTCAACAGATCTTATTTAATTATCCTGCTATGTTTTCTATTGTCTACTCTTTTTCCTTCACAGAAAAAGAAAATGTAATGTCTTATCTAGGATCCCATCCAGGATCACATAATGCATTTAATTACCATCTCTCTTTAGTTTCTTTCAATCTGGAGCAGTTCCTCAAGATTCACTGTCTTCTATGGCCTTAACATTTTGAAGAATATAGGACTTTTATTTTGTAGAATCTCTCTCTATTGGGTCTTGTCTGATGTTTCTCCATCATTAGACTCAGATTACTCATTTTTGGCAGTAACAGATAATAATCTTTCACATCAGATAGAAGTCCCTGAGTCCATGCTATATAAATATAAGGAAAAGCTTTTCCATATAGTAGAGTGCCAACTACTAAATGTAGAAAGAATGATGGAATTTTTTAAAAATTACCATTCGGCAGCCACTAGGCTAATACTTGGTTCATGCAAGAATCATCAGTAGATATTAAAATTAGTGGATGAAAGCTTGAAGAGCTCAGAGTATTTCCTGTCATGACACTTATTAATCACAAAGAGGAGAACAGCAACTTGATAGCAGAGAAGCCCGGTAGAAAACCACTTTAACCAAAGGACCACAGTTAGCATCACCAGGAGTGGGGAACTAGATGCTGTGTACCTCCCGATAGGATGAACACCTCTTCTGTGAAATGAAAAGAAAGACATGTGTCCAAAAGGCTTAATAATTTTAAAGAGCTATAGTTCTTTCCAGGGTGCACTCACAGAATAGATTCTGAAATCTTTTTCACCTTCGCAGACCCTGCCTTGGTCATCTTCCCAGGAGGAGCTAGCAACAACTGGGATACTGAAGAGAACACATCATCTGCTTGGATGGAAACTGCTCAATGGAGTTTGTGGACCATGTGATAGTCCTCAGACATCAGGGGTGGTACCGGAATACCAACAGGCCGGCCTCTGGGGCAGAAGGGCAAGAGGAGAAGGAACACATCTGTCCTCATCTAGAGCATCTCTGGGTGGTGAGCCGGAGAGGGAGCAGCGCGTGACTCACAGGCTGTTCCAGGTTACAGCAAACTCCCACCCCTCATATTATTCTGTTCTTTTGTCAGAGCCAAACTTTATCTTGCCAATTTCTCACACCTTGGCACCTAACTGACAAATGAAAAGACTAGACATCAAATTCCTTCCAGCTCTGTGACTGGCCAGTCTGTGCAGCTCACCTTTGGAGCAGTGTGGGCAGGGGCCGGCATGATATTCTCCTCTTGGACAGTCAAGCCAAAGAGGCCAGTGCCTCTCCACAAGGCCCCTAGCTCTGACCCCCTCTCCTGACTCCCAGCAAACATCCTGAGTCTTTCCACCACATCTGTGTTCTTCTCTAATCCGATTCCATGCTATCTTCCCCCCACCCCCGACACTGATCAAGAGGGTTTCTGCTAGAATATACTGATTAAAGAAATGAGGACTTGGTACATAAAGAATTTCAGAACAAAAATCCATGAAGAGAGCTACCACAAACTACAGAGAGGCTATTTGAAGTCTAAAGATACAAAATCACTTAAACCATGTATTCTTTTTTGCTCAGAAACAAGTCATTTTAAAGGGCAAGTCATTAGAAGATCTTCTACACCTGGTTTAAAAAACTCTAAAATACAAATTTTACAACCAGCATGGGGCTCAAACTCAACCCTGAGATCAAGAGTCGCACGGTCTCCCAACTAAGCCAGCAAGGTCCCCTACCCTAAAATACAAATTTTAAATTATCCATGTTAACCAGAGAGAGCCACAGTCCCGATAAATGCAATTCAGAAGTAGCCTGAGACTCCTCGGGCCATCCCCTATCTTAAGACATCCATGAGAATTTCATTTTTAAAAGCACACGCTGCCCTGATTATTAAAGACAATGACAAGAACACAACAGTATTTGGATACATTGGTTGTTTTAAAGTTCAGGATTGTAATTTTTCACAGAAACCACCTCAACCTGTCATGCAGTCCTGCTTGTAAGCAGGAGCAAGCATCAGCCAAACCCTGAGCAGAGTAAGGAATATATTTTGTGGTTACAGGAATGCTTTCTTCTATGTGAAGCTGCCGCATGCAGGACTCAAACTACCACCCATCTCTTAATTAAATGAGTAACTTGGACTTTTTAGCCACACCTTCCTCTCAGTTAACCCCAGGGGAAAGTGATAATAAACAACAACAACCCCAAAGTAATTGGCTTTATCTGCCAGGTGGTGAGTGAGAAGCTAAGAGGTATGGAGAGACCACAGAAAGGATAATTCAGGGATGACACTGCCTCTCACACATGGTCAGTGATGCTGTTGCCAACTGTCTGTTGTCCCTTCTCTCTTAACTCCTCTGACTCAATGTTGGTTCCATTTCCTCTGGGATGAATTCAGGTTTGGTTGGCTCCTCTTTAGCCCCAGTAGCAAAGGATCCAGAGATGCTGCCTTCAGATTCTGGAATCTACTTGTTACTATCATGAGGCCCTACAGCCCACCTATAAATAGGTTTCGGTGACTTCATTTTCCAGAGAAAAGTCATTCAATTATCAGAGTTGGAAGGAATTTTACTTTTATAGATAATGCTTGGAAAGGTAAAGTACAGGCAAGCTGCCCACACAAAAGCAAGTTGTATAAATTGGGGGCGGAGGTAAACACACAACATCTTTGAGTCCCCAGAAACCATTAGACCACATTAGCTAATTATAGCCTTGTGTTCAAGGGCCTCTCATTCCCATTTGCTGCTTCTCACATTTTCTTTCTTCTTCCTCTCCCATTGACAGCAACAGGAAATCATTCCTAATTTGTACACTTGCTGTTTTTTAAGTCTCTGGGAATTTTCCATGACTTATCAAGTGGAGGGTTTCATGGAAATTTAGCTTTTCCTTTGAATCTGCTTAGCCAAGAGACCAAATATTTTTTTAAAAACATTGAAGAATCTGATTTGTTGCCAGCCAAACAGAGGCTTAAGAAAGGCACCCCCACTCTCCCTGTTTCCTAAAGTTTTCATCCGGACTGTCAATTCCACCAGGGATTCCAAAAAGTCATGGGCCAAAAAGTGGTGGAAGGAGTGGGAAGCGAGTGAGGATGAATTAGAATGGTCAGAATGAGGTCAGCCCAGAAATTTACCCTAGAATACCCTAGAAGAGTTTGCTAACCACAGAGTCTGGATTTCATCCTCTGGAATTGTTGCTTCTTATTCCATGTGGCTCGGGAGAGGGTGTTGTTTAGGGGAAAAAGCAGAAAGACAAAACGGAAGGGGAGAAAAATTCGCTCCTCCATGGAGATGCAAGCAGAGAACCTATAGACTCTTGTGTCTTGTTTTTTTAAGTACAGTGTTTTTAATAGACCAAAAGAGAATCTTGATGAGGTAATACGTATGTGAGTGATGTTTATGAAATAGGGTGTAAAATCTTAACCATTATGGACTATTGTATAAATAAAGCTTAGATATATAAAATATAGAAACTTATAAAAAATCATTTTATAGAGCAGGGGACACTTAAGGAATTACAAAGTTTTCATATCTTTGTTCCAAAAAAATAGAAAGTTCCAAGGCTGGCAGCTTATTTCCTTAGTATATTCCACTGTAAAGGCAAGAACTTTGGTGGGGTTTTATGTGTTTTCTGGTTTTGTAATTTATAATAATCTGTATGGATTACTTTGAAATGTGTGTAGCTTGTGTGTTCATGTTGTTTGCCCATGCGGAGTCATCAGAGATCTGTTCCATACTTTGCAACTCCGAAAACCAAAAGAAATTTTCTAGTGAAAAAAAAAAATACATGGAACATGCCTTCACTGTTGGGAAACCCTCGGATTTCTGCCACTGACAGCTTTTTGCAGGTCTGAGGAAATGGGAAGTTTAATATCAGAGTTGTTGTCTCTCACTTAAATATTGGGTGTTGGTTCACTTTTCTCCTGGGAAGAATGCACGTATTTTTGGTCCTTTTTTTTCTTGCACTTGACATGATCTGGAGGAAACCAGAAGTCAGGGCCCTAAGCTGCCTTGCTTTGGGACCACTCTCCACCATCAGCTTTCAAAGAACCATTCACATACTAATTCTGTTTTCTGTTCTGTGATTTGGTGGTAGAACCACTGCTTTTTGGAACCCAGTGTTTTGTTTGGGCTTGTGGCTCTGACGAAGTGTTGAGTTTGCTCTTTCCTAGCCAGACTAAGGAGAAGAAGCCAAGGGAAACAAGGGTCCCCTTGCTGGACACGTCCACCTGCAGCTCCCACCAGCACAGGAGACCCACGCCAGAGACCAGGGCCCACAGTACCATCTGCTTTCCACGTGGGGAGGGGGGTGCCCATAATGTCAAAGTGGGGACATTACCCAAGTCCCCTTCGTCAGAACTGAGTACAATTCCCAGCTGTAAGCCTGAGAAGCCTGATGTGTGTTTTAGCATGGAACAATAAAGCCGGGTTAGCTGTCCCTCGGGCCTGGTGTTTTCAGGAGCTGGTTTGGAGGGGGAGCGTGTTATCGAGGGTTCCATATCAACGTTGAGCATTTGCTTTCCCTGGCAGCTGCTCAGGACGTCCGAAAGGGAGGGCCGGGAGGAGAGGCATCACGTGTCAGACGGGAACGGCTGGGGGTCTGTGCGGATGGCCGCCACGGCCTCTTGGAGCTCCCCAGGCTGGGTTCGTCTCTGGAGAGCAAACTCCCAGCTGTGCAACCCCGAAGGCCCAGAGAGACCTCGGCCAGAAGCCTTCTCTGCTTGCTTAGCGCGGAGGTCGGGAGCACAGCCTCAAGAACCTAACTGCCTGGCACCTCGCAGCTATATGGCCGTGGGCAAATCACTTAGCTGCTCTGTGACTCCGGTTCCTTTTCTGGAAAAGGGAGCTCTCATAGCATCTTCTTGAGGAGTGAAAGGTTAAATGTCTTAAAACACGGTAGAGCACTTTGAACAGGATCTGGCATAGAGACAAGTGGCCACTAAAATGAGTTTCACCACCTTTTGAAATGTTTGCCACATCCACCAACCATCCATACTGTTACTTACTTAAGATTATTCGAATGGATTCCATTTTAATCTAAAATTTAATTGAAAAGAAAACTTTATATCCCAGCTGTAAATGGAAAACTAACATAATTTGCTATGAATATAAGGTAGCAGTTATATTGTTATAACAACTCCTGTTTACTGAGTCCTTGCTACTTGCCAGGCAGTGGGCTAAGAGTCCTGACTTGTTAGAATCCTCACGGCCCTCTGAGTTCAGCATCGTCCTTTTACAGATGAAGAAACTGAGGCACAGGGGCATTAGAAAATTTGCCATGGTCACACACTCAGCAAACGCGGGCGGCAGTTCGGGCTTCGGGACACAGGCTCGTCAGCCCTGTTCTGTGCCGCCGCCCTGACAAAAGCAGTATTTCATTCCTGGGGCTGACAGGTGGCGTACAGCTTCCCAGGACTTCGGTAACTAAGTGCTGCAAACTGGCTAGCTTACGAGTGAAACTCAATCTCTTCCGGTCTGGAGGCTTCAGGTCCAAAATCAAGATGAGGGCAGGGCGATGCTCCCTCCAAGACCTCCCTTGCCTCTTCCAGCTTCCGGTCACCCCAGGCATCCCGTGGTTTGTGGCTGCATCGCTCCGATCTCTGCGTCTCCACATGGCTGTCTTCCCGCTGTGTGTCTGTCTTTGTGCCTCCTCTCTTCTTGTGAGGACATCAGTCGCGCTGGATTTGGGCCCGCCCGAATGACTCATCTTAGCTTAATTACATATGCAGGACCCTGTTTCCAAGTAAGGCCACACTCACCAGGAGTTAGGACTTCAACATATCTTTTTTTGGCGGGGGTGAGGGGGTGCGGGGGCGGACAGGCGGACCAATTCAGCTGCCCACCTAAGGCTTCGAGCTTGGGGCCGAAGACCCGCCAGTGTTGGAGAGTGTTCAAATCGGCAGCCACCTGAGGCCGTCTCCTTCATGCGGCGGGGACTGAAGGAGTCAGGACAAGGGAAGGACGATGCTTCTCTGTTTTAGTGAGACTTCGTGTCCAGACGAGGTGCTAACTAAGATTAACCTTCTCCTGCCCCACTGCCGGCTCTGTGGGTGAAGGGGGTTAGCAGAAGAAAGCTTCCCAGGGAAGGATGGTGGTAGGAAGATGAGGGAAAATGCAACCTTCTCCAACTCCGGGCAAGTGTGGAAGGCACAAGCTCATCTCTAGGTGGCGAGGCTGGAATAGCAGATCCAGACAAATGCCAGAGAGACTTCATCGGAGGTGTGTGTGAAGAAAGAATGAGAGCAAAGACAGTAGGGGAGAAATCATTTATTTTCTTATTATTTCCATGAAAGCTTAAGAACAATCTCTCTTCTAAGACAGGTTTGAGAGGAGGGTGAGGGGAGTAAGGAGGAGGCGTTTTCTCGCTCTGTCAAATAAGGTTGTCCTTGGTTGAAGGAGCTGCATAGATTTCGTAGAGTTGGGAGGCCCTCATCTTGAGCTCCCGGGCCACCTGACAGATGGAAAAGGGCCAACAGCAGTGCACGGCGAGCCAGTCCTCACACAGGGTGCCCTAGGGGAAGACCCACATCTCTGTCCTGGCTCAATCACACAGGCTCAGTGCCATCGCCCAGGGGCCTATTCCACCCACTGCTTCTGAGGTCCACCAAGTCGATGCCCTAAAGGAACGCCCGGGGACACCGCTCCAGCAGGACCCCCAAGTGCCAAGCAGCTCAACTGCTTATCAATCCTTGCAGTTCAGAGACCTGGCCTTACTTAGGGCTCTTGATACAGACTTCACACTTAAAACCACTGGTTTCTCTGTCAACATCTTTTTTTTTTTTCTATTAAGGCTTAATACTTATAATTACTTCATTTCTTTGGCATGGGTACTAAACGCCTATGGTCCAACATTCTCACAGGAAGAAGGCACAGGAAGTAAAAAGTACATCCCTCTTCCACAGCTGTCCTAGCCACCCACTTAAGTTATCTGGGGGCAACTGTTGTTGGCAGGTTTGTATATACACTTGCAGATAAATTCTATGTCCACACAAGTACATCTATAGTCCTTCTACGTCAATAGTTGCGTACTTCTGTGTCTTGTACTTTTTATTCACTTGAAATATATTTTAGGGATCATTCCACATGAATATATAAGATGTCTTTTTTATTTTTAACTGTCCACATCCTGATATGTAGGACTTGTCTCTGCTCAGTCTCTCATTGTACCTCAGGCTCAGCTGCACCGGAAAGTGACGGGCTCTTCGAAGCATCCCCAGGGAGCCCCCAAAGTGAACTCTGCGGATGCCCCATAGTCTTCATTTTCACTTAGACCATCCCGAGTACATCCTCCAAATTTGGTGCAATATACCTGTCATCTTGTCTTGATGCAGTGAGAGAAACAGAAGCAGCCCATTGACCCCACATCAGCATTATAATAGGTACCCCTTGGAAATACCTTTCATCATGTGGCATTTTGGTTCATATGAATGAAATCAGAAATTTCTTCCCTTTCCTTTCCCAGTCTTCCACAAAGTCTGGTGTTTTTAAGCATTCTCACCCAGACTTTTTTTTTTTTTTTAAACCACGGGTTTGAAAGACATTTAGGTTCTTATATAGATCCAAGTTCACATACACATTCAAACACACTTACCTGTATTTTATGTCTCTCTCTGGTGCCAATTCTCAGTGCAAAGGTGGACCCGGGTAACAGTGGCCAACAAAGGCACTCTCCATGATGCCTGGCGATGTCACACTCAAGGCACATTGGACAAAACAGACCACAGAAACCTGTCAATAACACATAAAAGAAAGCCACGGTTCTCAGATGTGCTCAGAGCAACTTCACGTCTCAAAGAGCATTTACAACCCGATGCCCTCCATTTAATACCGCACTGTCTCCCTGCAATCAGGGACTGAGAATGAATAACCAATTGTCAAAACTCAGTGGATGAAAATTGCCATAACCGAGCCACATCAAAATTGTCTTCTTTTGTTAAACACTGGCAAAGCTGAACCTGATACAATTCTGTCAGCATTCACGATGGTACTTGTTTTTTCCTGTCAAGAGAAAAGCATTAAATAATTTTTTACAGTTGAATCGTAGCTGTTGCTTCTATTATGTTCATCTATCTATTTTCAATATTTAAAATAGACCCAGTATATGATACTTGTGAATAGCAGGCGTCTTTCTCTGTAAATGTGATTGAAAGCTCTTTTATGGTGCACTGATTCTGCCTGTTATTCTCATCAGGACTGTATTCTATTTCTCAGGCCAGAAGGTTATTCTAATTTTTGCTAGTTTCATGGAGCCACTGACATCTGCCAGTTTTAATCTGTAACTATTAGAGGCTTGGTTCCTTGAACATCAACTGGAAACAGTTTGTCATTGATTCATTCATTGATCTTTAAATCCTGATACTGTTTCTTACACATTCTGCATGAACCATCTAACGCAGAGGTTCTGTTTTAAATACGTTTTGGGTCACAGACCCTTTTGAGAGTATGGTGGTAGCTATGAAGTCACTCCTCAAGGGAAAAGAAAAATACATAGATGTGCAAAATTGTGCATTCAATTTTGTGGGGTCCAAGGATCCACTGAAAGCTATCAACAGACTGCGGGTTAAGAATTCCTCATACACAGTTAAGATGTTATGTCATCTAACATCGCAAATGAGGATGACCTTGAAGAACACAAATAATTAGGACTATAAAACAGCAAAAAAATTAAATAAATAAATGCCAAAAAGCTAACCAATACCTTCAACGCATGTATGCAATAAATATTTTCAGACATAATCTATATATAAGAAAATGAACAGACTGTAAATATTTTGTTGGGTGACTTGTGACAATCACGTTCTCACCCAAGTAACCGAACAAGTAGAATATTGCCCTCAGAGTTCCCTTGTGCCCCTTCCCAGACGATCCCAATCCTCCCATCCCCACTCCAGAGGCAACCACTGCTCTGATTTCTCTTCCCATTGATAAGTTTTACCTCTTCTTGGACTTCATATTAAGGGAACCATGTTTACTTTTACATCCACCTTCTTTTATTCAACATGTTTCCTGAGGTTCGTCTTTGCTGTTATGTGTGTAGTGCGTTCTTCATCGTTGCTGAGTAGTAGTCCAACGTATGAATACTGCACATGATAAGGGAAATCTGTGTCCTAAGATGGCCAACTGAGCCACCAAGAGAGTCCCAGCCCCTGCCCCGGGGCTCTTCCGGGTTCTTCTCCCCGCTCACCAATCCGGGTTCCTCTCCCTGCCCCGCTTCGCGCACGCGCCAAAAGTGCCAAGTATGCGGAAGTAGAAGCGTATAAATTACCCCCTTTGTGCTCGGGGCTCAGACCTTTGGAGCTCACTGTCCTCTGAGCCTGCCGGCGTTAAGTAAAACTCCTATCCTCCAAGATCTCCGGGTGCCGCTTGGTTCTTCCGTCGGGCGATCCAGTCCAGGTTCCATAACACACAAACCGTTTCTCCGTACTCTCACGAGCTATTCCATTCTCTGCTATTGTGAATATGTACTATGAACGTTCCCGTACAGGTCTTCATGCGGACATACATTTTCATTCCCTGTAGGTGGATTCCTGGATGTGGATTTATGTTGAACTTGACAAGACATAAATATTTGCACCACTTAACGATCCCACCAGCAATGGACGAGAATTCTAGTTGTTCCGTGGCCTCACCAACATTTGCAACTGTTGGTCCTTTTGATTTTAGCCATTTCAGTGAGTATGAAATGGTAATGACCACAGCCTTCAGAGCACCCAACAAAGAGGCTCACGTACCCTGTCACTGGCACTAGAACTTCCTGTCAAGGGCCTGTCTCTGCTACCTGTCCTGCCCTCCCTCCCCAAAAGGTGCGAGTACAAAGTCCCACTCCCAAATTCAGTGACAAAATAGCCAAATGCGAGGAATGCTGTTCCAGGATTGTGGACTTCACCCTGGCTGTGAGGGGCTGAGGTGGCACATGTGCCCACGGGGCATGAGGACTCCGCGGGGAGGAGGGTAAGGAGCAGCCTGTCTTTGGGAAACAGAACATCTATTTCATCCATTTAGGAGTCATGAGATAATCCGCTAAATCACGTACTATAGGCGTCCCTTGCCCCAAAGCAAATTCTGAATTCGGCCTTGAGTGAGTCTGAGATGTTTTGCCCCACATTAAAAAAAAAAAAAAAACATTACTCCCAGCTGGATCAGAAGGCCCCACCCCACACCGACCACTGGGATGAACAGCGCAGAGGACAGATGGCCCAGTCAACTTCCTGCAAGTTCACAGCGGTCATATTGCAGGCAACCTTGAATTAGGAGACTTGGAAATCATGGCACATACAAAAAAAATCAATCAAATCTCATTTTATGCATGGATTATGAAATAGTGCAAATGCCTACAAATAAAAAATTAATCAAAAATTGCATAATTATAAAGCTGGCAAGCTAAGTGAATAATAAATTGTGTTTACACAATCGCCTGAGCTGCACCGCTATCACTGGCAAGGAGAAATGCCCACCACCCTCAGTAAGTATATTGTAAAGACGTTGTTTTGTGCATTGGAACTCCTGTATCTTATCTTTATGACTGGTATGTCTTTTAAAAAAATACATGCTGTTATTTTTATTTTTAATCCTTTCCATCAGATAACCATGTTATCTAAGTGTTCATTAGGATGCAGTTACTAGATGCTGAAGGCAACACACCAAATGCACATTCAGTTACCTTGGGACAGTAGTCAGATGGGATTAAGAAAAAAAAAAAAAAAAAAAAAACGCTATGAAAGCCAAATTCTTATTATGTAATAGCTAACATTGGACTTCACCATGTGCCAAGCCCTGCTAAAAATACATTGCATTCATTAACTCACTTAATTCTCACAACAATCTTAAAATACAGATACTCTTACTGTGTCCATTTTAATGGACGAGCAAACTGACAGGCAGAGGGATACGTTTATTAGGAAGGAGCAGAAGCCAGATTCGAACTCGGGTAGTCTAGCCCAAAAGTCTTAGCTACTACACACACCACCATATGTTCTCATGTTTTACGTATTTAGCGTGTCACAATGGTTGTGGATTTCTGTGCTCCGAACAGTATCCTCACTACCGCTAATTTGTATCTATTCCCGTGGGATGCTCTTACATTATGCAACTTTAGGAAAGTTCCTTTTTGTCAGATGTTACAGCCCTACACAGTGGATTGGGTGGCATTAAAAACTCTTGGCTCACACCTCAAGAGGAATGGGCAAGAGTGGGACCATGGGATACTGTCTTAAAGAGTCTCTAGGAGAAAATACTGCAACATAGTTGTAAATTCCTACAAATCAATATATAAAGCATTAAACAAAAGAAGAAAATGGGAATAGGACATGAGCAGATAATTTACCAAATAGGAAACACAAATGGCCAATGACAACCATGAAAAGCTAGTCATCAGGGAAATGCATATTGGCATGAAAGCATGCCAATTTTTCAGTATTTACATTGTGGGAAAACCATAGAGAAATAGGTACATAGCCCTTCTGAAGGCAACTTGGGTGAATCTAGTAAAATTTTAAATACACTAGGGGGGCACCTGGGTGGCTCAGTCAGTTAAGCGACTGCCTTCGGCTCAGGTCATGATCCTGGAGTCGCAGGATCCAGTCCCACATCGGGCTCCCTGTTCGGCGGGGAGTCTGCTTCTCCCTCTGACCCTCCCCCCTCTCATGCTCTCTCTCTCTCTCATCCTCTCTCTCTCAAATAAATAAAAATCAAAAAAAAAAAAAAAGAATAGATAAGAACAGGGGCACCTGGGTGGCTCAGTCGGTTAAGCGACTGCCTTCGGCTCAGGTCATGATCCTGGAGTCCCGGGATCGAGTCCCGCATCGGGCTCCCTGCTCGGCAGGGAGTCTGCTTCTCCCTCTGACCCTCCCCCCTCTCATGTGCTCTCTCTCTCATTCTCTGTCTCGCAAAATAAAATAAAATCTTAAAAAAAAAAAATGTTAAGTATACTAGGATCTAGTAATTCCACTTTGTGAGCGTCTACCCTAGAGTAAGAGACTGTACAGGGATATCCACTGCAGCATTATTTGTAGCTTGAAATTTAAAACTTCAATGTGCACTAATAGATGAAAGTGTAAATAAGCCACAATGGTGTAAATCATACTATGGAACAATTAAGAATGCAGTGAAAGATTAAGTACCAACAGAGTTAAATCTCTAAGACATATTTTGAGTTAAAAAAAATCAAATTTCAGGGGCGCCTCACTGGCTCTGTTGGTTAAGGATCTGACTCTTGATTTTGGCTCAGATCATGAACTCAGGGTCATGAGATTGAGCCCTCCATCAGGCTCCACGCTCAGCAGCATGGAGTCTGCTGGAGATTCTCTTCCTCTGCCCCTCTCCCACTCGTGGTCTCTCTTTCTCAAATAAATAAATAAATAAATAAAATCTTAAGGGGCGCCTGGGTGGCACCGTCAGTTGGGAGGCCAACTCTTCGTTTCTGCTCAGGTTGTGATCTCAGGGTCATGAGATCGAGCCCCACATCAAGCTCCATGCTCAGCAAGGGGTCCACTGGAGATTCTCTTTCCCTGTCCCTCTGCCCCTCCCACTCCTGCTCTCTCTCTCAAATAAATAAATCTTTTTTTTTAAAGATTTTATTTATTTATTTGAGACAGAGAGAATGAGAGACAGAGAGCATGAGAGGGAGGAGGATCAGAGGGAGAAGCAGACTCCCCGCCAAGCAGGGAGCCCGATGCGGGACTCGATCCCGGGACTCCAGGATCATGACCTGAGCCGAAGGCAGTTGCTTA